TTCTTTTCTTTTCTTTTTTCTTTTCTTTTCTTTTCTTTTTTCTTTTCTTCTCTTTTTCTTTGCACTTTTTTCACTGATGACTTTTCTTTACTTTCCTTTTTTCGAAATTTTATTCTTTTTATTCTTTTAAAAAATCTTTAATAAAAACTATATTAAAAATGAAATTCACAGCACTGTCAATATGGTTCCCTGCATCTGCCTTGTTACAGCTCGTGTTATAGGCAATAGACTACTAGGAGCAATCTGGCTTCATGCATTGATTGGGTGTGGAAATTGGCCAGCAAAACAAGCTTTAGATTGGCCTTTGAGCAACAGAAACCATGGTCTTGCCTCACATGTGAGACTTTTTAAAATCCTACCTCTGTACAAGTACAGATAGTTCTACATTTTTGCAGAGTTGTGTTTGTGTCTCAGGTCTTCCTACTTAAACAAAGTATTCTTGTTAAGTGAGAAACAGAGAGAGGGAAAGGTATAAATTGGAGAGATTTGGTTCTATGGACAACAGGCTGCTGGCTTTACATGGATGGCTTCTCAGAAGGAGACCTAAGACAACATTTGGTTGAAGTTCAATGAGGTTGATCAGGAAGGCTTTAAACTGAATCCTTGGGGGGCTGTTAAAGATGATACTCCTGGAGTAAGGAGAGGAAAACCTGTGCACAGCACAAGAAAGTGGGAGGAGTTGCTGAAGTGGGGCATTTTATGCCACTCAGTGAAAAATCAGAGAGGCTGTTGACTCGTCATCATAGTCTGTCTGGGACTAAAGGCTAACCAAGGAGCAAAACACAATGAAATTGAACTCTTGCTATTGGAAAGCACGTATGACTTAATAAGTATAACAGGGATCTTCCCATGATTGGCATGTGACAATCAAAGGACAGTATTTGTTCAAAAGAAACAGGAATGGCAATGAGAGGAGGGATTGCATAGTATTTTAAAAATACCCACATTTGTACAGAAATTCAAGGAAGTGCTGTGGAAAGCCTCTGGGCACAAAAGGAGAAGAAGGAAGTAAATCAGTGGAACCCACGGGAGATACAGATCCATGTCTGCTCTTTGCAAATTGCGGGTCTTTCAAGCGGGCATGAAGTATGCTGTAGTGGCTACTTATCCCAACATCTGTTGGAGACCAGCTCTGGGAAGATGGTGCTTTCAGGGAATTCCTGATTTGTCTTCTTGACAACTTCCTCATTTAGACTGGGAAAGAAAGTACAAGACTTTCCACTATCCTTGACTTGATATTAACCATCAGGGAGAACTTAGTCAGTGATGTGGAAGTCTCAGGAACACTGGGGAAAATGGTTGTGCAAGGCTAGACTAACACGTCTCTCCTTCTCCAACTTCTGTTTCAGCCTGACTCTGGGACCCTCATTGTTCTCTGAGCTTGCAGTTGTTTCCTGAAAGCTCGTGTGACTGAGTAGACTCCACTTTGTGTGCACTGGTTTTTTCCTTAATGCAGAAAACTGACCAGTTTATCCATACTTATTATTACTATAGGAGTTAATAACTGGTTTTCAGAAGGGGAGCACAACCAGCAGCCTTGCTGGATTTGCAGAAGGAAAGAGATCCAGCCCTTTTGACAACCATATTTAACAGGAGATGAAAGACTCTTTTTTGTCAATTAATTACTTGTCTTGTAACTAAGCAATTACATTATTCATTACATTTAATTGAATTGGCAGATCATCCAAACCTCAAACTGGCATCTGTTTCCAATATCTGAAGGAAATAAGGTCAGTTACAATTCAAAAGAATATAGCATTCAAGATCAAAGCAAGTTTTTTTTTAAACAATAGACGTAAGGTTAGCTCTATTATTGTTTAAAGTTTGCTTTGATCTTGAATGCTATTTTGTATTGAATTGTAACTGATCTTACTTCCCGAATTCTCAGAATCCCCCAGCCACTACTCAACTATATTTGTTAACACAAAATGGCTCGCATCCTTCTGGAGTTCCCAAGATTGTCTCAGATCTTGCCAGATTGCCCAAAGGTGTGCTCTTTTGTGCTGTACAGCTGAGAGTCTTTCTTTCTAGAATGGAAGTCACTCTGGTCTTCAAGAAACGGGCAAGGGGGGGTTGTAAGAGCCTTTACATTTCTTCGCTTCTGGATTTATTTTTTTTTTAAAAATAAGCATAGTTCCTGTAAATAGCTCACTTATGAATTGTCCAACACAGCAGTAACAAAGGAGGGAAAAGGCAAACCCTGGCAGAGCTGTTGGCACCCATCGACAAGAGTGTTGCCCGTGCCCCACCAGCATGCTTCTGCCCTGACATTCAAAGTGTTTGCTTCAATCATTCCAGCCAGGTTGGTGAAGTCTTTCAAATAAATATTAGACATCCTGTTTGGGTGGGAAAAAAATTACATCAGTTTCATGGCATGAGACCTGTAGAGAGGATGTGCAAGTTATCTCACAATCCAATTTGTCCAGCCAAAGAATGGGGAAGCAGTTCTAAGTGAAAGGGAAGATGTCCCTGATAAATATCTTCCAGATGGTTTTCCTTCTGTCTGTGAAATCCGGTTGTTTCATGGCTTGTTATATATAAGAGATGAAAGGGGCTCTTTGCCCAACAGGGCTACCCTTCCCGCTATCGCCCACGATTCCAGTCAAACTCAGAGCAAAGGCATTTTGAAGGGGCATTCAAAATGTGCAATCCAGATTCAGCCACCTGACTGTACATCGTGACAGTCACCTAAACCAGGTTTGCTCCCCTGCAAAAGGTGAGATGACCATTTCAGCTCATTCATGCAAGTACCTTCATCCTTTTCATCTGCTGCTGAAGGCAACCAGCCATTGTCTTCTCTCTGCTCCTCTTGGATTACAGTGGTTTGCAGGGTAGTTCCTATGTCTTTGCGTGATCAAAAGCGCTGGAAGCACGGCAGAACACGCATTTTCCTCTTTCCTCCCTTCGAGGGGGAGTTTTGCATGGAGGGTTTAAAAAAACACCTCTTCAAACATCCCCTCCTGCTTATGGATCTTTGGGAAGGTCAGACTTGCTACTCTCCATTACAGGACACCTAACATGGGCAGTAGTAATACTTCTCAGTGCCCCGTTCTGACTTGACTGGGGGCAAAGTGTGGGCCTTTGTTCTGGTGTTTTGCCTTCCTGAGGTTCAGAGGGACCAATGGAGGCTCCTGAGACTTGCCACCCTTCATCTCCTCTGAGTTGGCAAGAGGCTGAGCCTTGTGTACCAGCTGGCTATTGTACTTCTACCTCAGTTCCAGAGCTTCCAGGGAGATGTGCCAAGTTCGGCTGATCCCGAGGGCAATCACCTGATCGTTGATTATTCACTGAGCAAACTGCTCCTTGATCAAGGCCAGTGTGGAGCTGGTTTGTAGCCTCTTCCTGTGCTCTATCCTGAACCCTCTTGGCTTCTGGAGTTCTGAGAAGGAACGTCTTACACCTTCTCCACACTTTGCATAATGGAATACAAGCTTACTCAGTTGCCTTCCCTCCCTTTTTCCTACTCCGAAGAGCCCTTAGGATGGAAACCTTCCTCTCCTGTGGTGTTGCCCCAGCCTTTAGCTAATTGGGTGGCTTTTTCTGCCACCTCCATCTTCATGTAGCCTTTCTGAGGTGGCCATAATTCAGCAAGGTGCTTCAAGAAGGTCACACCATGCACTTTTATTGTGATGCTGGCACTTTCCTCTCTGGTTCCTTTGCTAAGGAACCTCCACAAAGAATTTGCCTTCTTACAGGTGACACTGGGACAGTGTGCTTTCATTCACTCCCTCCCTACCAGATGATTTATCTCAGCCTCAAGTTATCAGTCCTTGTTGGTCACTTCTAATCCAGGTGCCACCAATTTATACTGCGTGGGAACGCTTTGTCCCCAGATGCTTTGCTTTATTTCCATTGAATGACATTTGCCATTTCAAAGTCCATCCCCTCATTTGCAGAGACTCTTTTGGAACTCTTTGTCCTCAGCTTTTGTTTAACAGCTACCCACAAGGGGCTGTCCTTGGGAAAGCCCACCACTTCTATATCTCTGTCCCGCTTGTTGCTCCTCCCCCTCCTCCGTTCCCAGCACTCCATTATTTAGCAACTCTAAAAGGGTTTTCAGGAAGCTTTGGTGAAAGGCTTCTTCCTCGTCAGCCCTATATATTTTGTTCCGTCTCTGGGAAGAAGCCCAGCGATGTTGCAAGAACCTTTTAAGGGCGTCTCACAGAAGTGAGGTGGGTCAGCGCTGCTTGAAGAGCGCTTGGTAGTGTGGCACTGTACCAACAATGCAGTCTGGTGGAAAGCTGTGTACCAGCTGTGTTCCCAGCAGGAGGCTTTGTAGGGCCAAAGGACGGTCCTCGCATCACCCAATCGTCCAAGACAGAACCGACCCACCGCAGGGGAAAGGAAGTGCATGATCTTACCCATCTACCACAGGTGTGGTATTCATTATCCTGGCTGCCTCCAGCTGATACACTTCTGCCGAGCAGAGGGGGAGCCAAGCAGGGGCGAGGTAAGGCACCCACAGCAGCAGCAGCAGCAGCAGCATCCTGGGCCAAGGAGGATCTGGATCGGCAGACTTCCTTGAGACTCTCAAGTGTTTCCTCCAGGGGATCTTCTTATGCAAGTGGAGTGGCAAGGATCACCCGGGGAGTGCCCGGAACGGGATCCACCCATCACGTCGTAGCTCCTGAGTGTGAGAGCTGCTTGGGAGGAGCGAGAGAAGGCTTCAGCCAGCTGAGCTCATCCTGCACTTTGGGACTGAATGAGGAAGGCACAGCGAGGGTCCCTCTGGGTGGGAGCAGCAGCGGAGGGTCTGGGCAGCTGCGACCCTCCTTCCTATAACGCCCTTCCCCACTTCCTTCTGTGGACCCCCAGACCTCTTCTGCAGGCCTCTCCAGCTTGACTCCCCAGGAAGGCGGAGCAGCCCCTCCCTGCTAAGCAATCTTGCCTGTCCTGAACTCTCCTCGTTCTCCTTCAGTTTTGCCTCTTGGGGGGGGGCGCTCTAGGTCCCCCAGGGCTCCTCCCTTGGAAATGATCAGTCTCTGAAATTTGAATGTTGCAGCAATCTGGGTGGGGATGAACTAGGCGAGGAGGCTCCTCCTCAGAGCCCCTCTTTCAGGCTACAGATGGAAACCAGATTGGGGATATTCCTTTATGATGTAAACAGAAACAACCAATTCTGTCTGAGTCACATCTGTCCTCTGGGTGAAGACCAAACAGCTAGGCAAGGCGGCAGCAGATCCCAGGATGAAGTTCAGCCTTGCTTAGAGAGTGAGCCTCTCTCCTTGAAGCATCAGATTTGCTCTTTGGGGGCTTCCCTAGACCTAGCTCTGCTTTCATGCAGCCAATCGGTAGCACCCTTGCTCCCCGTTGAGGAAGAAGGGCTGTCCCTCGGTTCACAGGCATCGGCAGGTCTAAAGAGCTCCGTCGCGGCTGACAAAGGCTGCCAGTTACACGTGGAGAAATTGCAGCTGGTTCAAACTCCGGGAGATGGTCCACACAGAGCTGTTGATTCTGCGGTGCGTTTCCTCTGAAAGCTCCGAAAGGATTAGTCAAAGGCCGGAAAGATCGTTGTGTCCCCACTCTGCTTTGGCGGATGAGTCTGCAGCAATTGTCACAAGGGGCTTTGAGTTGAAACACTCCCTCTGTGCAAACTAGTGGGGTTGTTATGCTTCTCCTCCACACTAAGACTGGGGAGAGCAGCCGGAAAAGTTTAAGATTTGGAGAGAGGGATGGGGGGTTGAAACCTTATGAAAAAGGGCTCTTAGTTTCCATCATATTCACTTCCTTACAT